ACTCTAACTCCTCCTATCAGTTTCCACTGGCCAATCACATCACACTCATTTTAACCCTTTCCTTATGACCCACCTAGGAGGCAAACACCACATATGGTGTCATGCTTTGTATGATGCACTTGAGAAGAGAATGAAGTGGGGCAATGGAGGGAAGTTTTTGGCCTAGAGGGTGTCCCAAGGGCTGACAGAAAGGAACATTTGGCTCCTGAGCCTGTTGCAGAGCACACCCTATGGTGCATTTCCATCTTCCATTTACATGTCACTCACATTGCCCTCTGAACAAAAGCCATCGTAAAATTTTGCACAACAGTACCCTTCTTCATTCGATTTGATTCAGTTCTGGATATAATGCATTGCCTTCTCAACCACAAAGGGTGATGGGCGTAAATTTATAAGTGGCTTTTTTTTTAAAAAACACACACTATAAGGACATAACCCAAGTATTTCAGGCAGGATTCTGATATTTCTTCAACAGCGCTGGCATGTTACCACAGAATTACACAAATGGGAAGGTGAAATGTCACAAGTTTGAGATGACAACATCCATTCAGTGGTGAACAAGCACAGACGGATGTTTCAAGTAATGCTAAGATGATAATATTCTTTATATATCAAAAGTACTTCGCTTTAAGCTCTATATGCTTGTATTCTGACTGCTTCTTCAAAATGACTTTGGCCTTGAATGATGATCAGTCAATCAAGTGAAGTTTACCCCAGTTTTTTTTATAACCCCAAACAACCAAGGAGCTGAAATTCTCAGGGGGAGATTTCAGTTTCCAACCCAACTTCTGTCTCCCCGCTCAAAAGTTTATTTCTGAGCTGCCCTCCCACACCCAGGAGAAAAGCTATAGGTGTCTACAGAATTACAGGACAAAAGAAAGAGGTTTATTCTACATCATACACACAGGGGTAGGTTTCTCTTTGGCTACATGCTTTTCTTCCCGGTAGCTGGGTAAAGCAGCTGAAGGGCAGTTTTTTGAAGACGTACCACAAAAGACAATAGCGTTAATAAGGATGCTCCCCACCGAATTCTCTGATTCAGGCTGCTTTATCAGAAAATATAAGAAAATTGTTGTAGAAATAAGACGTTATATGGCTACATTTGGTAAAAGTAAGAAAATAACATGTTAGAGGATAACTGCCCAGTACCCACAACTGGGTGTTGTTTTTCAGGCCTGAGAAGAAGAAATTGTGACTATTCCATAAATGTAGAGAAACAAAACAGCTCTCATTAAGGACTGTTGCCTGGCTTATTGGGTGTCCATAAAATGAGATTTGTTCTCCTCTGTACCACACCCGGCCTGTAGATGATTGATACATAGAGAGATTGTTTCAGTTTCGTTCAACAGTGTTAGTTGAGGTTTTCTTGTATGCCCTGCTGATGGGCTGATTTCTTTACAGAAGGCACAAAAATGCAGCCAAATCCTAGTGTCTTGGTTTTCTAGATGTTCTGTTCTTTGACTTTGGATATGATCCTAACCTCGCTTACCTGGAAGTGAGCCCCATTGAATTCACTAGAACTTACTTCCAAGTAGTAATGGCTAGAAATCCCCACAGGCCCATTTTCAGCCCACGCTTTCTGTTCCATGCCATTTGCTCACTTGTTCTGGCCTAATAGGCAGAAGGAGTTAGAAGCAGGTTCTGGCAAGGCAAAAGTGCCAGTAAACATATATCTATCTATCCTTTAGGTTGGTTGGTTGACTGACTGAACTTCAACCTCACTCTTCCTTCCAAAGTGATAGATTTTCTTTTTTTTTAAAAAAAATAATAATAATCTAAAGCGAAAGGCATTGTACGAAATCCCATGCTCTTTGAAAAGCTTAGATTTTCTATAGCCATTTTCCCCCCTAGTGTTGTTTTCAGGGCTAACAGGTTCTTCCAAACATTTGGTGCCTGACGATTTGTGCTAAGTTAGACACGTGGTCTGCTGATCCCAAGTTTCTCAGAATGTTGTTAATTTGGCACAGCCATATCAACAAATCACACCAAGGAAAGGCAGTACCTCAGTGGGAGAGCATCTGCTTTGAATACAGTAGGTCCCAGATATGGCTGGGAGAGACCCCTGCCTGAAACCCTGGGGCACTTGACATAAGGTTCCTATGATACTTGTAGGTTGTCAATTAATCTTCTGGCTGTGTTATGCCTATTGCTACTAAGCTCTAATGCAGGGATGTGAACGTGTAGATCTCCAGATGTTACTGACTGTGGCTGGTGGGATGTAGGGCCATATATACCATACATTTAAAGCACCTGGCTTCTCCCTCCCTGCCCCCACCCCCCAAGAGTCCTGGGAACAGGAATTTGTTAAGAGTGCTGGGATTTGCAGCTCTATGAGGGTAAACTACAGCTCCCGGTATTCTTTAGGAGAAGACCTCTCCTCCTCCCAGAGGGGAGGGATTGTGAGTGGGAGCCGGTTCCTGCGTCGGCAGGGGGGCGTTCTCGACCCCTGCACCAGCCATTCTGGCTGCCATGCTGTGCCTCCGCTGCCAGCCAATTGGCCTGGCCCAGGGGCGAGGTTTAGCTGCACCTAAGCGGCTGCGGCAGCGCTGCGTACTCACTTTGCTCCGGATTTTTGTCAAGCGGGTGGCGGGTCCTCGACTCACAAGCAATGTGCTTGAAATGTGTGCATGCAGCCTTAGAGTCAAACATCTGGAGATGCAATAGCTTCTCTATCACTTCTCTAATGAGCAAAATTGTGCTTGTTTTCTTTTGGAAGCAAGTCAACGGAATCTAAAAGTACATGGATGCATGTGGTGCTGTGGGTTAAACCATAGAGCCTTGGGCTTACCGATCAGAAGGTTGGCGGTTCGGATCCCTGCGACGGGGTGAGCTCCCGTTGCTCGGTCCCAGCTCCTGCCAACCTAGCAGTTTGAAAGCACACCAGTGCAAGTAGATAAATGGGTACCGCTCCGGCGGGAAGGTAAAGGGCATTTCCATGCACTGCTCTGGTTGACCAGAAGTGGCTTAGTCATGCTGGCCACATGACCTGGAAGCTGTACGCTGGCTCCCTCGGCCAGTAAAGCGAGATGCGCTCCGCAACCCCAGTTGTCTGCGACTGGACCTAACGGTCAGGGGTCCCTTTACCTATACCTTTAAATGGAATCTAAAGTAAGAAAGCCAGCTACTGTTGACAGTAAAAGTGTGTCTATGTGGTTGGGGGGGGGGTTCAAATGTGAATTAAGTTTCAGAATAAGAAGGAAGGAAGGACAAAAGTGGTTTCCCTCTGGCATCAAAAGATTTACAGATCACTGCAAAAAGTTTCAGCTCTCCTTAGGCTCAAGTAATTAAAATGAAACTACCGTGCCATTTCTAATTAGAGTTACAGATCCCAGAAACATTTTCTGGTCATGGTGACAAAATCCATCATAATTTTAAAAAGCAGGATATACACTGCATATTCTGGGTAGTGGCATGGTAATGACGTGAATGGTGTCAAGCTTTTCTGTTCCGTTCCATTCCTTTATTTTCTTGTTGGTTTTGATATGAAACAAACAGAGAGGGAAACAAAACAAAAACAAGCAAACATAGGGATGATGGATGACACAAATCACACATTGTATTCTGTGGCAAAAGAAAAGTTAACGCTAGAATTCCAGATCTCACAGGAAGCCAAAATAAAGTGTTGTTGTAAGTGGTGTTTATTTGTATATGAAATAAAATTCCTCCAGACAATTGTCTGGTGTTGCCATCTTCAAACATAGAATATAACTTTTTTCCATAATAGCAATGTTCCTGTATCAAAGCATAAATTCAATTCCTGTAATGTTTTCCATTCAAACATCCAGCAACCAATAGAAAGATTTCTAGATCTTTTAATATAACCACCTTACCATTATGTCCAAATTAAATAGGAGAGCAAGAAGGATAACCGAATCCACTTCTTAATAACTGCAGCCATTTCTTTGAAAACCAGGAACTAAAATGTATGGACCTGTGGGTACTCCCACCACAGTTGGAAGTATGTTCCCCAAGCACCAAAGCCCTGCCATGGGAGGCATGTTAGATGTTATTTGTGACATTTGCACTGGGGTCCTGTACCACCTATGGTTAAGTGTGGTTTCTCTGGTATGGCCAAGATTGAATTTATCGGCTAATCAGACCATATTGCATTCCAGTGCTCTGGTTGTGCAATGCTCACCCTAGAGAGGCTTGCTTGGTGTCTAAGTTAGGGCCCTTTTCTTGCCAGGTTACTTTCCCAGACATTTTTAATTCTTAAGTTCTTTTATAATTTGCCATTCATGGTTTTGTATTTTCTATTTTTATTATCATCTCTGCTTGCTTGCTTGCTTGCTTGCTTGTTCTTTTTTAAAAAAAATAAAAAATACGGCTTTCGAACTGTATTTTTCTGTGCCCCAGAGAATGTAAGTTACTGGACATATATGAACATAGTAAATAAACTAAAGTATGCCAGTGAGAGCAACATATGGTCACTGTTATATTATTGGCAGCTCACAGTGGGATGGGAAGGACCCAGATACAGACTGCAATAGCAAGTATGCGAACCCCAATAATATAAACAGAAGCTGCTGCCAAGCAGATCTGTTTTGTTGTTAATCAGGGTTGTCAATGTGTGAATGTGTGTATTTTATCTCATGTGTAGGAAGTAGCCATAGACATCCTATTACACCAGGTGTTTCTCTTTGGCTAGCTTAAGTAATCCGTTTGGCTGAATCCACGCAGGGAATATTAAATCGTGTAAACTGTTGAATGACAGCCCTGACAAATGCCATTGAACGGGAGGAGGCCCATCAGCTCTCCGCTCTCCATTCGCTAGCTCTTAGCTAGCAGCCAACGAATGGAAACTGCCTTGGCATCAAAGTGGTAAAGTTTAGCCATGCTCTTGGCATACAGACAATGCTTTTAGAGTGCCGCTGGCCGGCTCCCTGCATTTTCATGCAGGCGCTTGGAGCGTTCCCAGCGACAAGGTTTTGGAGAAGTGGCAGATGTGTGATATACTTTCTTTTCAGCTTAATTTTTCCCTGCATTCATTCATGCCACAGGTCTCATTACAGAGTCAGGCATCAGAGCCACAGCCTGAACGCCGAAGCCCAAGTGAATTACACAAATGTTTCAAGAACTGGAAAGGCGCTCAAAGGGGCATGGCTGCCAGAGCCGTATTTCTTTGCCTGGTGGCTGTTTCAGGTGACGGCGATGCGCTACGCCTCGGCGACTCTGGAGGAGGTGGGGCGAGCTGCGAGCACGGCAAAGAAAATAATATGTGTTTATATCATTAACCGCAAGGTTGACTCCAGCAATAGAGGTCTAAATCACAAGCTCATATATTTTTTGACATTTTTAATGCTTATATGAAGCAGCATAACGTGCTCTCTGACAATTTCAATTAAACGGTCAGGATGTGTCTAGGAGGGATGAAACAAAGCATAGGTAGCGTTGAGTCAAAAGGAGAATTCAGCTTGCCTGAAGAATTTGTATTAGGATGCAGACTCAGGACTCGTGATGGGTAAGTTCCGTTCAGGGTGGATTTAGCAGGGATGTGGAAGCAATTAAATACAATTCACATCCAAAGGCAAATCTACCGAATCTGCACTTTTGGAAACAATACATGAACTGAAACACAGCCGCCAATTGAAATTTAAAGTTCTCCAGATTTGCAACACAGTTCTCCAGTCATGTAACATGTAAAAAAATGCATGTGTTAGTGAAAATAACATTAAAAAAATGTGAATGAATTTTTTAAAAATAGAATTTTAAGAACTGGGGTTCCATTTCCCCCCTCCTACCTGGCACTGTGGTCTAAACCACTGAGCTTAGGGCTTGTCGATTGGAAGGTCAGCGATTTCAATCCCTGCGACGGGGTGAGCTCCCGTTGCTTGGTCCCAGCTCTTGCCAACCTAGCAGTTCGAAAGAACGTCAAAGTGCAAGTAGATAAATAGGTACCACTCCAGTGGGAAGGTAAACAGCGTTTCCATGCGCTGCTCTGGTTTGTCAGAAGCAGCTTAGTCATGCTGGTCACATGACCCAGAAGCTGTACACCAGCTCCCTTGGCCAGTAAAGCGAGATGAGCGCCACAACCCCAGAGTCATCCGTGACTGGACCTAATGGTCCTTTACCTTTACCTTTACCTCCGCCCCACCCATACCCCTTTGTGTTAGTTATGCCTTTAGGTTGTAAGCCAGAGGACAGGGATGGTCTTGTTTTATATTGATCTGTATGATGCTCTGGAAGCGTTCCTGGCTGAAGAGCAGGGTAGAAATGCTTTAAACAAATAAAAAGGCCCAGAAGACACGAGCAATTGCCCATTGGCTTAAAAAGATTGCACCATGCCCAGCCGTGGTTTGTGACTCCAATTTTGCTTGATGCGTTACAGAGTCGTAATATGTGGAGCAACACTGTGATTGCATTATATTATAATTCAACAGTGGCAGGCAGAAGTAATGCCAGGCAGGTTTGCAAAATTCTGTGGGTACTATTTTGTGTGTGTGTGTGTGAGAGAGAGAGAGGGGGGGGGAGTTTCTTTCCCTATTTGTTTTCTGTTATCATTCTGTAAGTCTGCTGCTTGCCTGGGTTTGAATGCCTGTCTCTGTGATGGAAGAAATTGTGCTTGGTATGGGTAGCCGTTTCCTTCCATCACAATACATTTAGGTGAAAGAGGGATCCCCTGTGTTTACTCTCACATTTCTACAGTCTAGACAGGACAAGTAGGTTTTAACAATACTCATATTAAAAATTCATTGCCTCTGGAGAGCTGCCACATGGCTTTATTAGGCTGTAACCTTTTCAACCCAGGTAACTATGAGATAAGTTCCAAAGAAACGAATGTGGTAGTGCAGACACAGCAAAGACACACAAACACAAAACACCAGTGGCAGCATACTGAACATCACTACTGGGAAGCTACTGTGTTTCAAATCCTTCTGAATATACAACCTCTGTAAAGTATTTTAGGGTGAACGATACTGCAAGTATCTGTCAAATGGGGTCTTTTTGGATGCTGTGACCTGGAAGCAGGAGTGCAGTTAGGTAAAAATGCTACTTTTCCTATCGCCACTGTTTGGAAGACAAAATTAGGAAGGAGGAGGAAGATCTAGCAGGTCAAAATATGCTGGTTTTTGGCTCTGTTTACCAATGTTTCGGCCCTGAAACATCTGGTGGCCAGCGATTTCTGTCAAGCGTGGTGGGAGGAAGCAAAGGGGTGCAATTCAGTTCACATTTCAGCGCAAAGCTACCAAGTTTCCATTTTCTGAACCAAAATGCTGCTGTTTGGGTCGTCCCCACCACCACCAAAAAATGTTGCACTTATGTGATGTGGTTAGCCAACCTCCGCCCCCAAATGTGCACCAAATTAGAGAGAAGCCCACATAATGAGTGCAAGTAACAACCACCAAACTGTAGTATTTGGAAAAAAGTGTTCATAAAACAGCAATGAACACTTACCTGCAAGAAAGCAGGAAATATGAATATTGTTCTGGATTCAGTTTATTCCTCAGGAGTGCGAATGTAAAGGATATGAGACTTCAGCATGTTCCATTCGAGTGGTGTTTTTTTTATTTTATGTTATGCTTACTTATTCCATACAACACTTGTCACTTGTACACAGTTGATGACAAAACAAAATTAAAATGGAGAAATGCTGCTGCTGGTGTGTGTGTGTAGACTGTTGTAGAAACATAGTGAACTGAATTTAAGATTGGAAGAAGTCTGCTCCTCCCTCTTGGTTCAGCAGTGTTGCAGGACGGCTGAGGCTTCACTGGGGCCCCAACAAGAGAGCTGGGACAGCAGCGCCCCTTCTGATAGGCGGTGGGGGCTTAAGCCCCCTCCACCTATCAGGAACTAGATCCTGGCCTGCACCCAGCTTTGGCTAATGGGGATGCAGGATGGGGACTTGGACTGTGGCAGGGGGTGGAGCCGACGTAGCAGGTAGGCTTCCGTCGGATCCACCCCTTACCCATTTAAGCAGCCAGCGCCTGGGGCTCAGCCTGTTTGTTGCTGCACCAGGTTTCCCTGCCCACCCACTCACCCTCGGTTTAAGCTGATGGTCAATGACTTTGCTGTGGCTACAGTGGTTGTCGTCTTTCAAGGGGCTGGGTAGGAATTTGCCCACTGGGATAAATGACTCTTACCCGGTGGTTTTGCCTACCTCATAACAATCGTCACAACTGGTTGGGCGTTGGGGCAATCCTTTGTTTTGGATGGAGGGGAGGTTGTAGTCTTCGCCTGCCCCTGAGGTATCCCATTAAAGCAGCAGTTCTCAACTTGTGGGTCCCCAGATGTTGTTGGACTACAACTCCCATCAACCCAGAGCTCTGGCTAGGGGTGATGGGAGTTGTAGTTCAACAACATCTGGGGACCCACAGGTTGAGAAAGGCTACATTAAAGGAATCTGGGGGGAGTGGCCATGTCTGCGTGCCCAGGTGGGGCCAGGACCAAAGGCACACCCTCAGACGACAGTCCTTGCAGGGGTCACCCTATTTGATGTAAGTCTAAGGAATCTGGATTGACCACACGTCACTTCCGGTAGGTGGGCCGGAAGTATTTTGTTTGCCCCATGCCCAAGCCAAACCTCTTTCATCTGTATTCAGTAAAGTTGCAGCCTGTTTTGACCCAAAAACCCCAGCCTCATTGGTCTCATATTTGCATGGGTTGGGGTAAGGGGAACCCGACACCTGATCTTGCAAAAAGAAACTTAAAGAAACCAAAATTGACATATTTGTTTCTCCCTGGGTAGAAGCATCAGACAGAGGGAAGCATCAGAAGTGGGACTTTGCAACTGCCGGGCATGGCACCCAAGTTAGCTAAATCAGGGTCCTTTGCTTCTGTTTTCTTAGTTATTCAAGTGGAAGTTTTTAAAAGGGTAGGTGAAAATCCTGCTTTCCTGGCCATGCACTCCCTCACTCTCTCAATAAAGCAGATTAATGGCCTGGGCTGTAGGTGAGGTATTGATGAGTCCATAATGACTACCATGTGCTTGTCTACAAAATCTTTGCAGCTTCACTTCCTAAATCATCTTCCAACGCTTCCTGTGACTTATATGCAGGTTGCCAGTTCGGCTCAAACTCGCCTCCTGTGAGTTTTGCTCATGAACCAATTTAGCAATTGGAAGGCAAAGTCATTTATTGTTGTTGTTGTTTTGCTTAAGGTTTAATTTACCTGGAGTTTAATTAAATAACTTTGTTGAAAGCAAATTGCCCAATTTAACATAATAGAATGTGGGTGAACTCGTAAGTGATTCACGCCCTGTGCTTACCCCTTCAGGGATGTGCCTCAGCTAAAGGCTCCAGTTGATATAGGAAGGCCTCCATTGTGTTTATTCACAACTATAGACTTAGTTTCATATAATCAATCAGTAACTATTTTCTGTGTGGAAGAATTTCTTGGGTAGGATAGTAAATGAAGCATATGAAGAAGCCTCGTGAAATGACAGTGCTCTGTACTGAATAGTAAATTGAAAATTGAGGTAATTTTAATCTGTTTTAGCATTTTAACTTTTGTATGTTTTAAAGTATGCCCGTAATTCCCCCCCCCCCCTGGATTTTCCTGTCTTATCCTTTCATAAACTGCTTTGAGGTTGTTTGTTTTACAACCAAGAGACGTATAAATTTTATGAAACAAACATTTGGATCAGAAAGACTGTTTGAACCCAGCTCCAGTGTAAAACTCATGGTGTGATGTCAGGCCCAGTAGTGATTGGCCAGCGGGGCTACACTGGGCAGGGCCCTGCCCAGCACCGGTGACGTGGCTGGGATGGCACAAGGACGGTAGCAGCTCCCCACTCCCATGCTGTGTCACTGAAAAGGCCCGGCCACAACACCACCCACTGAAAAAGATGAGTGAACGTCCCACAATTGTGTAAAGATCAAATGGACAGAAACCCATTCCGAGTTTCTTGGGCGCAGGGTGGAATGAAAATAAATAACATGCATGTGATAAAATAAAAAGTGCCTGTTTGCTGGAGTTCCGCAAATGGCTGAGGAATTCCGTGGCTGGTTAATAATTAAGGGCAATTGATTACTAGGAACATATATCAGGGATGTTCACATATATTAGGGATTTTCACACCGAGAGCGGATATGGTTCCAGGCCCTTGGGGTAGCGACATACAAGATACTGTCTCACACAGACTGAGCTGCTTGTATTGCGTTGTTGTGCGTGCTTCATGTTGCACCAGTGATGGCTGGTGGCAGAAGACAAAGACAGCAGCTGGAGACAGAGCCAGCTAATTC